AAAAAGTGACTATAGGCTAACTCTGTAAGGAAATGGGCTATAAACTTCATTTAAAAAAATGATCCTTTTACATGGGTAAATTCCCCAAATCAGGAGTCATTGGGTGCAGTGGCAGACTTAGTAGGCCACAGTGGCTGGTTTGGGAGTGCACAGAACAAGCCACGGTAATTTCTACTCCATTAAGGAAATGGAAAGAATTCCTGTTTGTCACGTAGGAGCTGACATAGTGGACAGGATCAGAGCCATGATCTATCAGCTTGAAAATATAAGCAATGGAGAACTAAAACCAGAGTACCTGCCCCTGACCATTTCAGAGCATGTTTTGGAACAAAATGTATACTTCTCTCACCCAAATATAAAAGGGGCAAGAAAAGTGGGATGGGTGAGGAAGAAGAGAGTTAATGCAGGGCTCCCGAAGGACAGTCTGTGAAGTCCTAGAATGCTTCCCTCTGATTCATCATGTATTCGACCCAGAGGAGAGCCTTGTGATTTGAGCAGGCCAGAGCCTGAGTCATGTACTCCTCTTGCCGTGAGTGCCCTGAGGCTACTGTATCAGGGAGGCAAATATTATGGCTTATATGCTTCATTGTTTTCTTCGAAAAGTATGTAAATTTCTATGCAAATTAATACAAGTGTCTGATTCAGAGAAAGTTGCTAATGTGACTATCAGTCTTGGCCCTTGGGACAGATGCACCAGCCCCATTTACAGGAGAAAGAATTAACTGCGGCTTTGAAGAGCCTAAGAAAAAGTACTCAATGAATGGCTGCATGATCTTTCCTCATTCCCAGCACCCTCCTTTGAGAAGGGGCACAACTGTGTGTTCACATTCCACACTCTGACGTCCCACTTGTCCATCCGGGCTACCTTCATGGCTTCATGTCAGGAGGGCTCAGTGGTTTGCAGGCTTTGATTGTTCTGCCATGTTGTGCCTTGTTCTTTTCCTTTCCTCACCTCTGTCTCTATCTTCCCCCCTCTCTGTTCCTCTTTTTTTTGTCTCGTTTTTACAGGCTGTTTCCACTATGTCACTGATTTCTGAACCCTCCCTGGAGCTGCTTTCCAGCCCAACAAATGCAGACTCAGTCGACTCTCCTCCCGGTACAGTTCTGCTGCCCAAGTCAAAACCCCATGGGACAGGCCACAGCAGGGACCTACCGGCCCTGCTGCCACCTGCCACCTTGGAAGTCCTTCATATTGAAGAAGAAGGCAGCAGCGCTGCAGTTGCAGCTATTCCAGGACGTTCTGCCACCACTCCACAGCTCCGCTCTGTGGCTCGGATGGGTCAGTCACTTCCAGAGGACTTTGCTATTTCTGCTCCTTTTGGGGATCATGTGCTTTCTTTGAGCTCAGTCAGGCTGAGCCAAAAGTCAAATCCTCCTAGAGAGATGTCCCAGTCCGTGATATCCTCCAAGACGGAATCTCTGTCTGTTCCTTCTAATGCAGAGGCCCACAGTCAGGGCCTTGATGAGGCAAAAGCCACTGAAAAGAAAGAGCATAGAACGGAGACCAAGCTCACAACTGTTCCTGTTTCTAGCCCTAGCATAACCAGCCAAGTGAAGGGGCAGACCCCCAAGGAATCAGCACAGCAGGCCATTTTCAGGGCTAATTCAGCCTTTCCCTCCCAGAAGGATGGAAAAATGGAAGCAGCTTTAGATCAGCTGTGGGCTCTGGAGCTATCTGAGCTTATACCAGAGCTATATTCTGAGAATGACCATGTCTTGCAGTCAGCGTGTGAACCTGATATTGTGGCTGTGGACCGGTGGGATGTCTTCCCAGATACTAAAGGCCAGTTGGGTCTTGGAGCAGAACAAGGACAGAAGCAGGATGCTGAAATTGAGCATGAAAGCAGGACAGATGACTCTCCTGATATGGCTAAAAAGAGGCAGAGCAGAGAGAGAACTCCTAGGAAAGGTGGCCCTACTAAGAGCAAGCCAGGAGCCTACTAAGAGCAAACCGGGAAAGAGAGCAAGTCAGAAGCTCAACAGTCACTCCAGAAACCGCTGAAAATGTTTGGAAGGATGAATTGGATCTGCTGTCTGTCTCCAAGCACCTATTGAGAGGATTTCTGCCTCAGGCCAGGCAGGCATTGAGTGAATGCAGGAGTGGGCAGGTTCTAGCTAGCCGCCTGTGCATGGTGTGAGTGCATATTTGGGCTCTTCCGGAGCAATCTGATAGCTTACTCCAGACTAACAGCATGCTGGTCTGGAGTGCTTGGAGTCACTGTAATGACAGCTGCATGGCGCAGAGGTCTGAGACCCTCCAATCTAGCAGCAGCTTTGTGGTACCTTTTGCATGTGGATCAGTGATTGGCTGCTTGTGCATCCAAACAGACCATAAAGAGCAAAGTCCTGCACTCTTCCTCTCTCTTCTCCCCACTTCCTCTTGAGGTTCTATTACTAAAGACAATGTATCTGTTCCCCCCTCCCAATGGAAAACAGGGTTCAAAGTTAAGTATTCATTAAGGTGATTCCCAAAGTGGGCTTCCAAAGACCTTTCTTATCCCCTCTCCACACTCCCCCTGTAAATCTCTCAGGTGTATTGTGCAGTGTTTGCTGACCTGCCACCTCCTCCCCATGCAGGCGCGCACACTACTGATGAGCTGCCACACCTGCAGGTAAAGCAACAGGTGATTCCTTGAATGCTCCCCACCTTCCCTCGCTGCTCCCATTGCAGCCTTTGGTGAAGCTGGGGAGTGGGGTCAGAGCTACCCAAGAGGGCACAGAAGAGAGAGAAAAACGATGCAGAAGGAAAAGGGGGAAAATACCCTGAAAAGAAGAGACAAGAAGCTGTGGGAGGGTGAGAAGGAGACTGTGAAGGAGAGGAGAGGAGAGAAGAGACTGGAGAGACAGCAACAACTGCGTGAGGCTGGAAAGGGGAAACAGTTTGGGAACCACTCAGAGAGCATGTCTCTGCCCTTGTAAGCCAGCCAGGAACCTATGAGGTAAAGGGAAGATCTCCGTGGAGGCTCTACCAGCAGCACACAAGTATTTTTTTCCAGTAATCTCTGCTTTATTGGGAGGGTGGGGAGAGCCAAATCTCCACCCCTCAACACTCTGCTGTTCTAGCTCCTGGGGTCTCTGGGTAAGCCACACTTTTGTGTCAGCCTCATTGTAACAAGGGTGCATCTCTGCACCTGCTCCTGTTCTCACTGGCTTCTGCAGACACATTAGCCTCTCCAGAGCAAGTCCTGGTCTGTCCATATGCAGGACAGCTGAAGAGCTGTGGGCAGAGGGTTGGATCTTTTGACGATTACCTGTTCGGTTTATTCCCTCTGAAGCACCTTGCATTGGCCACTGTCGAAAGACAGGATACTGGACTAGATGGACCTTTGGTCTGACCCAGTGTGGCTGTTCTTACGTTCAGAGACTGCAGAAATCCCTGAGGAGCTGTACAGGGCTTGCCTTACAGTCTCTGGGTTTTTTCTTTGCAGTTCATGGCCCAGGGGAAAGCTGGGGGCAGCTCCCCTCCGTCTGCACCCCCAAAACCTGGCAGCCAGTTGGACAGTATGTTGGGAAGCCTCCGGTCTGGCCTGAACAAACTGGGAGTAGCTACCGTTGCCAAAGGTGTTTGTGGAGCCTGCAAGAAACCAATTGCTGGACAGGTGAGTCTAAGGCACCATCTTGTTGCTAAGCCTTGGCTACAGCAAGGAGTAACTGGGAGGGCTGTATCATGAGGCTGAAGGGACTGGCGATGCTGAAGAAACGGAAGTACTCTATTTATCCACTGGCCAGGTACGCTGTAAGCTCCTCCAGTGACCTCTACCCTGCCCTTGAGGGACTGCCCTCTCCTGAGATGATAGGTAATTCAGTTTTCATGCTACCCCAGTCCAGGGCTCACTTGAGTAGTAGAACGTGTAGTTAGTGCCAAACTCTACCTGGTGTGTTGTCACGTGAGTTGCCACAGCAAAGAAGTAGAGTCGTCCCCCATAACTGCTCCATCTTCCCTACAGGTCGTCAAAACCATGGGGAAAACCTGGCACCCAGAGCACTTCGTTTGCACCCACTGCCAGGAGGAAATTGGGTCACGCAACTTTTTTGAACGCAATGGTCAGCCCTACTGTGAGAAGGACTATCATAATCTCTTCTCCCCTCGCTGCTACTACTGCAACGGGCCCAGCCTCGACGTGAGTCCCTGAGCCAGCGCGTGTCAGTAGGAGTCTCTCTCTTGGCTGTTCACGGGGGAGTCTGGTGCTGTACTGTCGAGTAGAAAAGCGCACATCCATCTACCCCTGATAACTCTTCTCTTGTAGTTTTGGGACCCCTATTCTTCCTTCACCCTAGTGCTGTAGGGGAAATAATTGGACCCAGTGCAGCTATCTCCCTTCATCTGCTGTAGGGTCCTGCAATGAGAGGGAAGGTTCTACTGAACTAAATTTGCCCCATTGCAACTCTACTGAACTCAGTATTAGGATCTAGCTGTCTTCACTGCAGTAAGGATCTCCTGATTTTCCCCAATGGGATACCATGGTAGGAGGCATTCCTGCTGAGTTTCAGAGTACTGCACGGGACTGTGTCCCCTTCTCCCCCAGGTCTAGAGGAAAGGAGTGGTGTGTCTGACCTTGTTAGGGTAAAGGGGAGTGGGGGGGATTGAATCCCCAAGGAGGGGGCTCAGCTCTTTAAGCACAGTTGATGTTTGCTGCACTCAGCACTGGCGTTTGAGTGCTCACTGTTTGTGGTTTCTCCCAAACAGAAAGTGGTGAAAGCCCTGGACAGGACATGGCACCCAGAACACTTCTTTTGTGCGCAGTGTGGCGCTTTCTTTGGACCTGAAGGTACTATTGGTTTGTGCAGAGAGAAGCCACTCTGGTGAAGCAAGTAAGGGGTGGGGGTGGAGGCAACATAAGGGGCTGTGATGGGTCCTTTCCATAGAGCAGTGGTCCCCAAACTGTGGGGCATGTTTGGGGGGAGCGTAACGGCCCAGTCTACCCCCATAGGGGGTGGAGAGGAAGTGCCACTCAGCCCCGCTCTGCTCCCAGCTGTGGCCCTGTACTCTGGCACTTGGCCTGGCTGCAGCTCTGAACCCGACCGCAGCTCCGGCTGCAACTCCACTCCCGGCCCGGGCTCCAGCCCCATCCTCGCCCACCTTAGCCTGTCCGCGCCTCCCCCCAGGAGTCGTGGCCCCACTCCCGATCGCAGCCCCGGCTGCAACTCCACTCCCAGCCAGCACTCCAGCCCCATCTTCACCCACCTTAGCCTGTCCGCGCCTCCCCCCAGGAGTCGCGGCCCCGCTCCCGACCGCAGCTTCAGGGAGTGGGGCGCGGACAGGGTTAAGGGGGGGCACGACATGAAAAGTGTGGGGACTACTGTCCTAGAGCAAGTGATGTAGAAAACTGGGGGTGTGGGGGTAGAGAGGGACTGTGGTGTTACTTAGTGGATGGGGAGCTAACAGTGATTGCTATTTCCACATAGAGACTACAGGAGGCGTAGCATGTGCTCCTCCTATAGCAGAATAAGGGATAACTCTGGTCTGTGCCTGGGGATCCCAGCCACCCTGTTAGCCCCATGGAGTCTGGCTGGGTGTTCCCATGAAGGAAGGTCACAAGCTGATGCTGTCTGGCTCTGTTTTTCCCTTGTGTCCTTGGCAGGGTTTCACGAGAAGGATGGCAAAGCCTATTGCCGCAAGGATTACTTCGACATGTTCGCTCCGAAGTGTGGGGGCTGCGCCCGGGCCATCTTGGAAAATTACATCTCTGCCTTGAATACCCTGTGGCACCCTGAGTGCTTTGTCTGTCGGGTAAGAGAGCCTGTGCTGCCCACTGTCACCTGACCCCTCTCCCAAGTCCCCTAGGTGGGTGTCTGGTGGTTCCCTCGATCAGAACAAGGGGTCTGGGCCAGCACAGGACAGCCAGCCCCACAAAATACATAGTGTGATAGTGACCACGCACCCTCTTGCTTCTCTGCCTGTTTCCATTAAATTCTCTAGGGGCTTAATTCCCTCCTCCTCCCTCATAGCCACAGTTATGGGCTTCTGCAGCAGTTCACTGATAAGCACAGAATTTTTCCAGTGGTTTCTTAGTAATAGTGAGCTAAGCTTTCTGAGCTCTCCGCCTCAGCACCCTGATTTGAAGAGCTTCCTCGTGTGCTCACTCTGGAAATGTCAACTTAATGAGACTGACCTGTTTGGATCAACTTGGAAACTAATGAAATAGCTGTAAACTGAATACGCTGCTGCATAATGAACTGTAATGCTGCAGAATAAATACTTAGCACGTCTTCAAAGAGCCTTGCAAATATTGACCCATCTCCCAGGAGCAGTGTAAAGATGAATAGCAGCCACGTGTTACCGAGACAGAGGCAGAAAGGCGGAGTTCAGAATGAGGGTCAGAACCCATAAGTTCCTGTTTCCAATCCTGTGCTCAGACCACTAGTCTGCTCTCCTCTGCTGCAGAGCAGCCAGCGTGAAAGGAGTTGGCTGAAGCTGTCCCTTTGAAACTCTCCATCACTCAGAAGGCCCCTGTGAATAGAAATTCTGGCAGTCTCTTGTGAGCAGCTGACCAGCTCCGTCCTTGCCTGGACCTGGGTTCAGGCTCTTCTTCTGCTCAGGAGATGTTGCTCGGCATTCTTCACGCTGCTGCCTGTTAGTGGGGGCAGCAACTTTTGGGCAGAGTCTGTTTTTCTGTTGTTAGTCAGGCCAATTTCCAGTGTTTGTTTTCGAATGGAGGTGGATGGCTTAGTAGTCTCAGCATCAGGCTCCCAGGTACCTGCTGCCTTTCAATGCTGCAGGCAACTGGAGTTCCTCGCAGTTCACTGTGTGCGAACGTGCCTGGATATGCACTTACTGTGGCTGCACCCTGCTGGATGCCTGCACGCAGGGCTCAGTTTGCATCTGCCTGTGACTAAGTAGATGTCCAACCATGCGTGCACTTGCGGTACTGTGCGTGTCCCTAGGGCTGGACATTCAAGTACAAAACTAGGACTCAGGACATGTGGCTTCTGTTCTTGACTTTGCTGCTGACCCGTGTGACCCTGGGCAAGTCCCTAATTGGCTCTATACCTCAGTTTCCCCACCTGTAAAATGGGGGGGGGGGAAATTCCTCCTAACTTCCCATGACTGTAGTGAAGGTACAGCCATTAATACCTGTGTGGGGCTTAGACAGTGATAACCATTATAGAGAGATGGGCGCCTATTAAAAAATTGGTCTCTAACAGCTTCTCTTCATAGACATTAAAGACCCAATATCGCTTTTGTAAGGGTATGGACTTGTCCCCCAGGGTCCTTGCCCAAAATTTCTCCCCCTCCACATTTCTCCAGTGGCTGTCACCTTCTGCCTGCCACTGAATTTCAGTGGTGAAGTGACTCTTGTATGTGTATAGTTTGGGATGAGTCAGGAAGGAGGGCGCTGTCCCAGGGAATATGCATAATATCTGGCATTCGAAATGGGTAATTTAAAAAAAAAACCCTACTGGCCGTCACCTTCTTTTTCACTGATATGAGCGTAAGCAGGGCAGATACAGCTAAAGAAATTAAAACCAGCCCATTGTGACAAGGTAAAAGGTGCTCCTGATGCCCTGGAGCATAAGGAATTCTTCCCTGCCTGTCACCTGGGTGAGCTGGGGTGGGTGGGCTCTAAAAGCTGTTGTGGTGGCAGCTGTCTCTGTGGATGGGGGTGTTCTCTTCCCTCCCAGCTTATTGGAAGCAGGAGAGGCTCTGGTGTTGCTTACCAAGTGTTCTCAGTAGTTTTGCTGTTGGGTTTGGATTTTCTTTGTGTTAATAAAGCCAGCCTGGAGTAAAGGGACATGAAGTATAGTTGAAGGCTTTATTTTCCCTCCCAGTTGCTGTATCTGCCCTGCTTACGCTCAGTAACCCTGTCTGCGGGGCACCGATCATCTTTGCAGCAGTACTTCTGCAGCCCCTTTCTGCTGGATGAAGATGATTCACCCTGCCCACTTCCTGCAGGAGGCAGCTAGGGGCATGGCAGGCGAAGGCATGGATTGTGGAGTTGCCTGGGTCCCCAGCTTGCCGTATCAATCTGTTCCCTTTTGCTTCCACCTCCTGCAGGAATGTTTCACGCCGTTCATCAACGGCAGCTTCTTTGAGCATGATGGGCAGCCCTACTGTGAGGTGCATTATCACGAACGCCGCGGCTCGCTGTGTTCCGGCTGCCAGAAGCCCATCACGGGACGCTGCATCACCGCCATGGCCAAGAAATTTCACCCAGAACACTTTGTCTGTGCCTTCTGCCTCAAGCAGCTCAACAAAGGAACCTTCAAGGAACAGAATGACAAGCCCTACTGTCAGAACTGCTTCCTCAAACTCTTCTGCTAGACGCATCCTAGCTGGGAACGGAGCATCTTTCTGCCCCCTCACTAGGCAGCCGAGTCTCTCTGAGCATTACTGTGATTTAGAAACCTTGCCGGGGCGGGGGGGGGGGGGGGAGGAGAAAGGGGAGGGGAGTGCTAACTGCTGCTCCAGAGAGGAGATGGACCATTAAACTGGAAATGCCCATGCTGTGTTTCAGTGGGGAGATGCTGAGCCCCATCATTAAAGTGTTGTATGATTGTTGACAGCCGAGAGGAGCCTGAGGCGCTAGCGAGGAGATGCCTTTCTCAAGGAGAGGGCTGGATAAAGCCTTGAGTCAACTCTCCCTGAGCCAGCATGTGCCACTTCCAAACAAAACATCCTTGGCTTTGGTGACTCTTCTCTCTCGCTGGGGCATGTAAGTGCTGTGTGACCCAAGCAGTAGCTCTGCTGCTGCACAGCAAGGGCTATGCCCTGACCTCTGCATTGCCCGGGCGGTGCCTGGTCGAGTCCTGGGGCACACGGGATTTACTAAGATTACAGCAGCAGCCCCAGAAGCTGTAAAGACCCTGCAGTGGAGTCTTTCCAGTTCAGTAACACTGCAGGGAATTGATGCCACTTATTTTTTAGAAAGGGGAAGTAGGGGGCTACTCTGTTTTTCTAGCTTGTGATTCTCTCCCCCTCCTCAACACGCTGGGGCAGGAGGTGGGGGGAAGAAAACCCCCTCCCTGCTTGAATGGAGTGTCCCATTTTGTGCTGGACACCCCCAACTCCCCAGGAGTGGTTAGGGCAAATGCTCCTAATTCTGCTGCTCCTGGGAGAGGAGGAGGAGGAGACTGGCACCAATTAATTTTAAAAGAAAATGCAGAGAAATTTGAGGGCCCAGCCCTCCCCTCTGAGCGAATGTGGCTTATGCTGTGTGTCTGGCCTGCATTTTACTAAGGGAAGGGCCTGAAAAGCCTCTCTAGGTTTTTTTTAAACAGCAAGGAAAAAATAAAGCTATAGACTTCGTATTCCTTGTTCATCTTCCTCTCTGCTCTTTGCTAATCAGGCCGGCAGCCCCTCTTCTTTGAGACTGTCCTGTTCCTTGCTCTTGATAAACACGTTCTACTGAGACTCTCTAGAGCAATAACCTTTTATATTGACTGTTACTGGTCTAACAAGTCCCTGAGGTCTGGTGCATCTGACACTTGGCGTTTTGCTATCGAACTGAATACTGTACGCTTTGAGAAAAACTGTGGATTTCTACACTGAGCTTTGAATTAATAACGAATTTACTTTTAATCCTCTCAGAAATTGGTTTTGAAGTGATTTTAAGAAAGCTACTTTTATCTCTCAAACTGTGCTGTTCTAGGCAGTACCAGTTGTGCTGGTTCCTGCATCTGTAACCTCAATGCTTGGGTTTAACAAACTATTAACATGAAGCATTTTCTTTTTATTGGGGGTGGGGAGGGCTCTGGGTTTTGCAGGGGAAGGGAATGTGACTTGTATTGTTTTCTAGCACAAGCAGGTGAGCTGTGAATAGCTCTTTTAATTTTCACAGATCACCTGGAAAGTTTATTTTGTAACCTGTAAACTGCTGTATTTGACTTACCTGCCTTTCTCCAAAGCCCGACTTCCAGGGTAATGAAGTGAGTCTTAATTCAGTGCCACATGCTGCAGAGATGGAGAACTCAAAGTCCACCCTCATAGTTTTATTCCTCTTCAGCCATCAGAAATGAGAGTAGAGGGTTAACTCCGGAAGGGGAGTTCTCCCCTTAGGTGGGAAGGATGGTCCTGGGGCTAAAAAAAAGGGCTGGGAGTCAGGAGATCTGGAATCTGTTCTTGATTCTGCCAGAGACTTGCTGTGTAACCTTAGGTCAGTCACTTAGCCACTCTGTGCCTCAATTTCCCCATCTGCAAAATGGGGCAATATTCCCGCCTTGTAGGATTTTGAGGTTTAGTTCATATTTGTCAAAGGCACTTTCAGATCTTCAGAAGGAGGGTGGTGTAGAAGGACAAAGGATTGTGTTAGAAACAACCCTACGGTGTTCTACGCTAATGGTGAAAGTGGTGCAGTGAGGAGGGTTTTAAAATATGACTCTAGAAGATTCTAGATCTTTGGTTATTAAGGCATGGCACATTAGGGTGGCTACAAAATGTTCAAAATGGAAAAGGCATAGGGAGTTCTGGGATTAACTGTGTAAGAAACAAACCCTCACTTTAACAGAGGGATCCTAGCTTACTATTTTCAATAACCTTAGCTCGATGCTTCACTACCCCACTTGAATAAGTGGAACCGTTTTTCACTGGTTTCCCATACAAATGAGCCTCAGTCTGTGGTTGTGAAAGCAGGGTTTTGTGGAACAAGTGGTAAAACAAAAAGCTACTCCAGCTGGGCTGAGCACAGCTTTTGGGAAGTTCCCAAGGCAAGAAACTGTCTAAATTGTCATTTTGGAGTTGAAATTAGTTTTACTTAAAATTGGGATTTCTGAGCTTCCTGCTGAAACTGACACTTGTTCTGACCCCGCTGGTTGGGAGAACGGTCCTGTGTCCAGTGCACAGGACTGGGAGTGTCTCTGCCACTGCATTTCTGTGTGATACTGAGTGAGTTTATAACCACCTGTGCCTCACTTTCCTTATCTGTAAAATGGGGATAATACTTAACCTACCTCACTGGGGTGTTGAGGCTTAATTCACGGATATTTCTGAAGGGCTTTGAGACCCTTGGAGGGAAGGTGCTGTAGAAGGGGAAAATCTTGTTACACTATCCCAGTGTCAGAGCAAAACCGTTTCATCCCCTTTTAAGAATGGTTTACTAGTCTCCATGACCATTACTGCCTTAGCAAAATGTTGAGAGCTTTCCTGATCAATTGGGATTTAAACTGGTTTGGGGATGGGTCCTATGCTCATTGCTGCCTCCAAATGTTACTTTCCCTCAAGATGGCTGCTGCCAGTAGGAGGGTCAGAAATACCCATTTTAAATTTCCTAAGTTCAAGCACAGTTTAGACTTGAACATTTGAAATGCTGTACAGAGCAAACTGGGGCAAGGGCTGTGTTAAGATTGCCCTGGGTGATTAGCAAGCATACTTCACAGATACTGAGGGTGCTGAAGTGCAGACCAGCAAGTCGTACTACTGCACTGTTGCAGGTACTGGGACATGTTCCAAGGAGTGGTTGGGGAGAGGGGTTAGGCGAGAATGTGCTTTTGGAAGGCTGAGATGGGTTATTTAGGCTTAAACTGGACACAGGAGGCAGGTGTGTACAGTACAGAACCTCTGAGGAGCTAAAAGACTGCATGCAGAGGCCTGGCAGCTGCCCATTCAGAGGCAAATTAAGGTCTAGCTACACCACTGTTTCTTTGAAAGGTTTGGTGTTAGGGTTACTATAATGTTGTCTTGAAAGGCCTCAGTGCTCTGTTTACAATGATCTCCTAATCTGATGAACTCTGGCAGTGCAATCAAAGAGCTATCAGACAAGGTGGGTCTCAATCAAATCACGCCCCAAATAGCCTGGGGGGATTTCCCTCTGGGTCGACAGTTACTTCATTTGTTTTCCCTTGTAAACTTCTAACTCTGCTTTTTCCATTTAAAATCCCTGTGATTATGCTAATAAAATGTTACCATTATTTTCACTTGACTTGGTTCCAGTCATTTCTAGGCTTGTGGAAATGGTTCAAAGCAGCCATCGTCTGTAGCTCCTCTTGCCTTCCACGCTGGAGAAACCAAAGGCCACACTGGCAAGAGCTGAGGAGGGGGATGTTTATTAGTACGGTTTCGGCCTTAG